TTTAATTGCTCTTGGGGTTTACACCTTATCATAGAAGGAGATTCAAAGAATGCTCTCTCATGGGCTAGTAGGGCCTCCACTCAGCCATGATTCCTAACCTCTACATTCGATGAAATTGATCATCTTTGCAAGGATATGGACGTCTTATGGCGGCATACTTGGAGGACGTCCAACGATTTCGCGGATCGCTTGGCGAAAGGAGCTAATAGGCAATCACAAGATCAAGCCGGGATCGTCTCCTTTTTTCCACAAGATCTCTGGCGCAGCTCGCTTCCATAGCACTTCACCTGGCTTCTCTTGGCCTCCCCTATTTTTTGTATTTTTTGAAAGCTTCATGTAAAATTTTCTTTTGGGAGGTCTTACAAACCCTTCTTGTACATGATTCACTGTCTGTATTTTTCCAGTCCATCCCTTAGGGGGTGAACTTGGCCTCCTCTCTCTTGTACAATCCTTACCCATTAATACAACGTTACCTTTTATCAAAAAAAAATGATTCGTGTGATAGCATTTGCACTTCATCTTGCGCTAGTCGTTTTATGAAAGAAAGCTGTGTTTCGGTCTCCCTGTTTGAGCCATTTGATCCTAGATCTATGGTACTAGTAGGTCTCCTCTTGTTTCAGAGTTTGGAAGAGGTAAATCCTAGCTTGGTTTCTAGATTGTCTTTCTAGGGAAGATAGGGGTCTAGTTTCTTCCAACTGATCCGCTTCCAAGATTGAGGCTGACGAGTCTCTAATTCTGGTCTTAAAGTTCGAGGGAAGGTCCCTACTCCAGATTTTGAGTGCTGCTTTAAGGTTTTGGAGTTTGCGAGATAATTTGAAACCTGCCCAGCCAGTTACATTGGTAGAAGACCACACTGAGGCAAGTATTGGCATGAAAGTAGGTTCCTATAGCCAATGTAATTCAAATAGAAAAGGTTTATGGGTGCAAGAAGAGGGATTAGTATCTAATATGATGGGCTTATGATCAAAAGTTGTTTTTGTGAGGGCTTGGGAAGTGGTACCAGGGAACTAAGTTTCCCATTGTTGATTACCTAAGAATCTGTCCAGCTTAGACATGATTGGTATGGGGGCATGGTTAGACCAAGTGAAAACGGCTCCTAAAAGGGGAAAACTTGAAATATCTTGTGAATATTTCCTGGTTCGGACTTTGGACTTATATCAAATTCATTTTGAAAATCTTAGTGCAATTTGTTATTTTTTGTTTTCTTTTTTTTATTTTTTTACATGTTTGTGGATGGAATATTTTGTGAATATTTACCGGTCTGGGCATATATCTAGTGAATAGTTTGAAAATTCGAATTAAATTGATATTTTTTGTGAATATTTAGACCAAATCTTATAGACTGAGAAATCCCTAAGGGGCCCAAACCCCTGCCCTACGAACTTTTCTCGTTTTATTTTTATTTTTTTTAGGGGGTGGGGGGGAGCCAAGGATACCTTGTCCTTGTTCCTGGGCGTCTGCCTAGGCGGACAGGCCCCCCTAACCACCTAAGTGGCGGGCACCTCTGCCTTTTTGAACATTGACTGAAGACAAAAGAAAGTTTAGGAGAGGCAGATATGTTAACACATTGAATGCGGAGAGACACATTATTAAGAAATGGCAGCTCACTGCTTGCCAAAATCTGTCCTCAAACATAATGGTACTTAGGTTTAAGACCCAATAAAAATTTGACAACTCTAAATGCTTCATGATGCTTCCTTTGTAGTTCTACATCACCAAATATAAGCTAATATAGATTCAGCTCTTCCCACATGCCTTTAAGGGCACTATAATATTCACTCACCCTCTTATTACCTTGTTGCAACCAAAACATTTTATGAAACAGTTCATACCCATGAGATGTTCTTATATGATGAATATATCTTTTAAAGAGTCAGGAATTTCTTTAACAATGCTAAGAAACATCACATTTGCACTTATTTGAGGCTCCATACTGCTCCACAACTAGGTCATGATTATGTAATTCTCTCTCATCCACTATTCAAATCTACTATCAAACTCACTAGGCTAATCCTCAGTCAAATATTTTAATTTCACCTAGCACTATAGGATACTTTAACAGACTGAGCCCATACAACATAATTAGATTCATTTAACTTTACTGAAGTAATTTGTATCCCCACATGTTCAAGAAGACTGAAGGTCTTGGGTTTAATTTCATAAGCCAACTAGGGTCAATTGAATACAATCACCAACACCGAGTATAGTAAAATGCTAGGAACGATTTTTTTTTAATTAATCAAAAGATAAAGAAATACTTATCATTCACATTGAGCATAGCTACTTTCTAAAATTTGAACAAACTCAAGCAACACAAGAATCAGTCTTGAGCTTGAGTGGTTAGCAATACACGTCGAGCAACGCTACATCTTAAGTTCGGTACCCACCACTAAAACATCAAGGAAAAAAAAAGGAGTAAAAGAACTAGGGCAACACCCCAGTATCCAAATCCGAGCATCACCATGCTGTCACTTCGAGTAGACAAGGGCAATACCTATCCACACAAAAAACTTTAATGAGTTTTTTAGAGAAAACTTCAGCGAATCATCCACAGTTGCCCAGAAACTTGCGTCTTTAAAGAGGAATCGCAAGAACAGCAACATCACCACATTAAACACAGACCCACATGGGCCACAGGGTTCAGACCAAACAACCCTAGGTAGTCACCCTCTTTTCTTTCTTAGTTAAAAAGAAATTTAAGAGGGAAGAAGATTACATGTAGCCCGGAGGAGCCTTACATTCATCGCTGTCAGCAGCCACTATCGGAGGCTCTCGTTTCTAACCTTAAGGCACTTTGTTCCTCGAAACGAGATTGCATCTGTTATTCATATGTAGGGCTTTAGGTTTTTCTTTTCTCTTTTTTCCTCTTCTTTCCTCTTCTCCTCATTCTCTATCATCTCGGGTTCAGCCCATTTTTTCTTCTTTAGTTTTTCTATTTTTCTCCTTTTCTTCTCTCACTTATTTCTATCTCTTGTTATCTGAGCACCCAATCAGTGGGATTGCCTTCTTTAGGATTAGAAATCTTGTAATTTTCCTATTTTAATGAAGTTAACCTTACCTTCAAAAACAAAGAGGGAAGAAGATTAAAAGGGACGAAATATTTAGAATAGAAAAGAAAACAAGAGGGAAGAAAATGATCAAAGCTCTAATACCATGTTAAAAAAGGGAGAGAGATGAAAAGAGAAGAGGAAGAGGAAGCAAGAGTGACGTGAGAGTCCAAATTGGTCTCACACACCTTTGAAATCAGTTTTATATTACTAAAAGCAGAGAGGGAAAAACTGCAAAACCTAATTGGAACTACGAGTTTTTCCAGTATGTGTGACATGTGGGCCCTATGGTTGTGTGGGTGTGATGCACATGTGGGGCTGGATCCAAATGCCCCCATGTGTTCCTCCTAGCCCCTTCCCTTATCCTAGAAACTTTTAAAATCCCTTTAAGGGTTTTTCACTATTGAAAATAATTTTCAAAATTCCAATTTTTTTTTAAAAAGCACAATAGTTCTTTAGTTGAAACCATAATTTCTAGAAGTGGATTGCTACCAATGGGTAAAGAAAATTGATTGTCAGGGCACTCCACCCGACCTAGTAACCGTAATCCTCGACTATCTTCTCAAGCCAACCCAATGAGACCCATGACCCATAAGCTCATGATAAGGGTCTCATGATTGGCTCATCAAAACTGGTCAATAAATAGTGAAACCACGGTCCCATAATGTGGATTACAAGTCCCCCATTAAGAGAAAGTCATGTGCACATATCACAATAGTGCAATGGAGGCTCTCCCTATGCACGTGTATACGTATCCCTTTTTAGGGTTGCTTCTCGGTATGCGGCTGTTATGTATACATGCCATGCGAAAATGTGCAACCACGTCCCAAAAAGTGGATTACAGGTCCCCCATTAAGAGAAAGTCATGTGCACATATTACTATAATGGAAGGGAGACTCTCTCTATACACATGTATAAGACTTTTTCAGGTTTGCTTCCTAGTATGCAGTTGTTATGTGTACATGGCATGTAAAAGTTTATCGAGCATTTAGCCTTTATCTCATAGGCCTACATCTGCACACAAGAGACCATAAAGCTTTCTTGGCCTACAAACCATCTCTTAGCATCTCTCCAACCTCTACAAGTAATGAATATCTGAAAAATCCTCTTTGGCAGTGCCATATGCTTAGTGGTAAGGTTTTGGAAATGACCCCAGCTATAGACGGCCTAACCCTAGGTTCACCAACCAACACACTCCCACTAAAATGTATAATCCACTATAATTCTTTTATTATATGCTCGCACAGGCTTTAAAGGCCACAGATCCCAGCGATCTCTAATTGAGATTAATGACTTGAGCAGAGCCCAATTCTGATACCATGTCAGAAACCTTTGAAGCCCACAAGGACAGACTGGTTTGGGTCAAAACTACAAGACACTTCCATTATTGATTCTCTTTTTTAAGGGAAGGTAGCCAATTTTATTTTGTTGTTTTTTTAATAAAGTAGCTAAATCTATTCAGTAATATTGCGAGATAATACAGCCAAATAAGTAAATCTCGAACACCAAAGAGATGTCAATGGGGGCATCTTGAGAGCCACACTTCAAGGCTGTATTATAGAAAAACTCAAACTGTCCACTCCTTTCGCTAGAAGTGTGCCATCTCATTAGCACTCTGAGGGACATGATGAAATTGTACCGACAGACTGTCATTAACTTTCCAAGGGGCTACAATCTTCTTTTCAGCCCAGATGATGACTCTCACTGTTGATTCAAAGCAAACAAACTGACTGTTTAACTATTAGGCATATGCATCAATGCCGAAATAACCATGGTTGGATGATACAACGAAAATTGATAAAAGAAATAACAAAAGTTACAGTATCCCAAAAGTTAGATTATCATCCCTGAGGAAACATATCTTCTAAGATTGGCTTGGATGATAAACCAAAACAAGCATGCAATGGTGATGCAAACATAAGAGGAACAAACAGTCAAAAAGGAGATGGAGACCTGATCACAAACAATGTTGGCATGCAACTCGTCCTTCTCCTTGAGCAGTTTGAGTAGTTCAACAGCACAACTGAGTGAAAAGTAACACTAGGATTAAATGAGAAGAGGGCACATGAAAAAGTATTGGTCCATACCAATATATGCTGTAAATAAACTAGCTGACTTGAAAAACTATCAGTCTGTGCAAATATATACTATGGTTAAACTAACCTCAAGTTTCTAAAACGAACACAATAGTTAACAATCCTGCCACAGCCATCGCACCAGTGGTTCACATCATTCAAATCACACAACAACTGGAGCAGTTTATGCAAGTTTCCTTCTGAACGAAGAGAGTCCTGCAAAATCATGAATAGAAGTGTGGAACAAATCAAGTACCGTGAGATGCACTTTTCCTTAATCATAAAGCAGGTTTGATTGCAGCTCTAAGATCTTTTTCCACCAATCAAGTATCAAAAATGTAGATAACTTGACTAGACAGGACTTAATAAAACTTACAATAAGGCTAATTATAGCTTTTGGCTCTGGTGTAGACCCTGCTTCCTTAGTTTCGTCATATACTCCAAGCGCATCTGAAACCTGTCCATTGCATGCAAGAGCTGATACAAGAACACCCTTGATCTCATTCATGTTTTTATCCAGTATCCTGTGATCAATGACAACCTGATCCCAGAAAGAACAATTATGGGATGAATATCAATTGGCATGACTGAAAGGGTATTGAAACAGAAATATAAATCATATCAAATGCTAATATCCATGTACCAACAATTTCATTTTTCAGGTTACAACATTCCATCAAATAAGAAAGGACAACTTTTCTACCTTCTAGTTTGAAACAACTATTAAATCTAAGATGCAGCTTGTCAGGTGATTCTTCACATATTTGCTATTCATGAATAGTGAAGAGGCATGACACAAAAACTTACACTTACACATATAAATGCAATACAAGCATAGGTAGCAACATCTCAAAGCTTAAAGACTTTGCTATGAACCCATCATGATCAGTATGTGATGGTATGAACATTATCCTCTGCTACTCTGAATGATTGATATATGTATAGGTACACCCACAACCTTGCAGGAGAATGATATTCTCTTCAAACAAATAAAATTAAGATAGTCCCCTTAACCTACACAGGGATAACAGAAACTCCAGATCACATGTAGATTACGATTAGCAATGTCATATCTACGTCAAGTATGACAAAGCCCTCTGAAGCTTTACCACGTTTATGTCTTAAATCATCTCACTTATGTGAAAGCTAGGCTGTTCTGGAAGGGAGCAATCAATCTACTGAAGAAAGCATGGGTGTTCTAGGCATAAATTTCCAGCACGAAGGGGTGTGGGGCCCTATCATGGGACTTATCCAGGTACTGATCAGAAGTCAATTTCAGAGTAGCTCATCAGTCTAACCTCATTAAATAGTTCTCCCAGGTTCAAGAATTGAGGATTCTCTTAATCCTTATAACCACAAGGATGACACGATTGGTCAATCATGTGACTATCATGCCCACATAGGGAGATACAATCGTTCTGGATGGAGGGGTAAACCGGCACTGTTCCTAAATTTAGGCCATCCAAACTGGCCTAAGTATCAGTGAACAACTGAGTAGTGGTCAAAGTCATCTTGAAATAGATTCTTGAAGGGCCATGGGCTACTGAGGGCAAATCATGAATGCCATAAAAAGATACCCAATGGCATAAATTATGGAAAGTCCTGTGGAAATCAAGGATTTTTACAATGTTAATTTTATTCATGTAATCAGGAGAGCGAATACAGAAGCAGATGCGTCCAGATAGGAAAATGCATGTGAAATTTTGTTGGTGTGGATAGTCCTCTCTAACCACCACCTACATTTTTCTTTGTGAATGCTGCAAATGTCACTTATCTGTGCTGGATCAGATGTGGAAGAATATGTTGCTGCTAAACACCAAACTAAAGACCACTTAAGCAACGTCAACAGACTTCCCCCCCCCTCCCCAAAAAAAAACGAACCCTGAAGACCACTAAAGCAGGAAAATGCCTGTGGAATTTTGTTGCTGTGGACAGTCCTCTCTAAGCCCAACGAGAAAAACCTTCCAACCCCATACAATCCTAGTCACAGCCAATGAACTTTCGAGTGCAAAGATTTAAGTATTTATAAAGTGAAAATATATATTGATGTCTTCAAACTAGCAAAAATGAGAGAGGAAGTGTAGAGATCTAGATAATGCTAAATGCATTAAGAGTGAGGATTAGAGGGTCTTAGTGAAGGATGATGAAGTCAATGAAAGGTGGGGAATTTAAAAATATTATTAAATGACGACCACTATGGAAGCACAATGTTAGGAGGAACCTTTGACATAAATGACATCAAAGGTCACAAATACATTTGTAGGATCAAAATATATGAAGTGAAAGAAGCTTTGAGAAAGATGAAGATAGGAAAGGCTTTAAGACTAGATGGTATCCTAATGAGATTTGGAAGTGCATGGGAGAGACGGACATATTCTGGTTGACCAAGTTCAACAAGATTTTGAGAACATAGAAAATACCAGGCAAATGGAGAAAAAGTTTTGTGGTACCTATATACAAGAACAAATGAGACATGCAGAATTGTACGAATTATCGAGGGATCAAACTTAAAAGCCACACTACGAAGGTGCGGGAGAGAGTAATTGAGGAATGACTATGACATGAAAGGAGTGTATCAGAAAACAGTTTTATGTATGGAGGTCCACAAATGAGGCTAATTTCCAACTTAGGCAATTGATTGAGAAGTTTACGAAAAAGAGAAAAGACCTCTGCATGGACCATATTGATTTAGAGAAAACATACCATAGGGTATCTAACTCCGCCACAGCTAGTCCCAAGCCGGTCATGTCAGTCCCAAGCCTAGATAAAGGAGGAGGGCTGTGTTAGGTAGCACAGCCAGCGTAAAACTTTGCCACATCTTTTCTGAATTCTGAATCCATGCTATATGTTCATGCTAAGTTGTTCCCTGTAAGCAACGTGTGGTATCGGAACCCGGGTGTAGTAAGAAATGACCAAGGGATAGGAAGCAACGCGCCGCGATGACACCCAGTTGCATTGATAAGTAGGCAAAGGTTTCCATGTCATTTAAGACGAGCGTGGGAAAAGAAGCTAGTTCAAAAGAATAGGACTTGTCTAGTCACATGGAATGTAAGAACTATAAGGTTCGGGACTTTTCGGGTCGTTGATCTTGTTTTGCATCCTGAATCCTTTCCTACTAATTCTTTCCTCAAATTTATTTTTCGATTTGCTGAATAACCTCTATCTGGTGTTTTGAGTGGTACCATGTTTTTTTTTTTTTGAGAACTGTTAACATTTTATTATTAAGACAATAGTAGTTACAAAATTGTGAGTAACTGAAAGACACCCTCTAAAAATGGGTGTCTTTCAGTAAAAAATACATTAGTCAGTCATGTACAAAAGGCCTTATAAGATCCGCTCAAGTATCAAGATTTACAATGGTTTTAAAAAAAATAACACCAGAGCTGTGGGTTGCTCGTGTGGAAGCAGACTATGTAGTACAGCTGTGGTCCTGAACAAAAAAGGAGTCGAACCTAGCCTGGTTTTCCATTTGGAAGCTAGCTCCCTCCTTTGTCATGAGATCTGCGAGTTCGTTGGACGTCCTCCATGTATGCCTCCATGAGGTGTTCGTATCCCTGCATATGTAAGTAATTTCATCAAAAATTGTTGGCAGTTGCCAAGGGGGAGAGGTCATGCCACTTGCCCAAGAGATGGTGTTTTGAGAGTTTCCTTCCACAATTAGATGTGTGCCCCAAGATGGATTGAATTTTTTAATACCCAATAATAAAGCCATTGCTTCTGCGTATTGGGGATCATTGATTCCAAGATACATGGAGTATGTGAGGAGGACATTTCGCTGGTAGTCTATAAAGACGCCCCCAGCACCGTCGCGCCAGGATTTCCAAGAGAGCAACCATCAAAATGCAGCTTGATGCTGTCCTCTGGTGGTGGTTGCCAATTGCTAGCTCTTGAGATTTTTGGTGGCCTATGGTTGAGGACATTTTCCCATTGGGAAAGGAAGATGTTCCTTGATAATCCCGAGAAAAACTTGTGATTGGCGGCCCAAAAAGAGGTCAATGAACCTTATGGAAGAGAGCTAGTGGTTGGAGTTGAAGTCTGTGGAAGATTATGTTATTCCTTTCTATCCATATTGTCCATATGGTAGCAGCCACTGTAGCGTTCCATAAGGTTTTTCCAGCCAAAGGCCGCTGAGCCTCCAACTTGTGAGATATCAGGGCCTGACCGTGGGTGGTGTGACCCATTGGATGCCGAAGAGTTGTAGCACCTGGCTTCGCAACTTATTGGTAAATTCGCAATGAATAAAGAGGTGTGGGTTGGTTTCCTACTCACAAAGACATAGAGTGCATCTATTAGGGATTGAGAAACCTCGTTTTTGTAATTGGTCCACTGTGAGTGCTCTTTGGGAACATGCTATCCAATTGAAGAACTGAATCTTAGGTGGCGCAATGGTTGACCATACTTTTGACAAGATAGAGGTTGGGTTGAGAGGAAAGGTGGGGGGTTGCGTGAGACTTTTAGAGAAGGAGGCTACTGTGAAGAGACTTGAAGGGGAAAGGCTCCAAACTATAGTATCTCTCCCATTTGTTGGAACGAACGAGAGGAAAGAGCAGTACATAGTAGTTGGAATTGGTTGGTTTCCTCGTCTGAAAGATTTCTTCAGAACGATGGATTCCAGACTCTCCGTCCACCTGAAAGTGGCACTTCCTTAGCAACAGTTGCGTATTTGTTAGAGGCAAGTGAGTAAAGGGCTGGGAATGCCTGGCACAGTGGAGAGTTTCCTAGCCATATATCTATCCATAATTTTACCCTATGTCCTTCTCTTGGATGAAATCTTATGCGTCTTCTGAACTGTGACAGGGAAGAGGCTAAGGATTTCAAAGGCCCTGACGCTCTGTGTCTGTGGATCCTCTTTTGTACCCCTGTTCCGTCTTTGATTTTGTATTTGCATCATTACACCTGAGCCAGGAGAGAGTCTGGTTGAGAAGCTAGGCGTTACCACCATTTGCCTAGGAGGGCTGTATTTTATTTTCTTACGATCCGAATTCCTAAGCGCCCCTGCTTTCTTGATAGAAAGATGTTTTCCCATGCTACAAGGTGGAATTTGGTCTTCTCTGCCTGTCCAGACCATAAGAAATTCCGCATAAGTTGTTCTATGCGGTTAGCCACTTGTGCTGGCATTTGGTACAGGGACATGAAGTAGACCGCAGTATTTGCCAAGGTGGCTTTGATCAGGGTAACTCTTTCTGTTGGTGAAAGATATCTACCTTTCTAAGCAGCTAGACATCTCTCAACTTTGTCTAAACCCTAAGACCAGAGCCTCTTTCTAGGTTTACCCAGTCCCAAAGGAAGGCCCGGGTATGTGAGTGGAGGGTCTTCCACTTTACATTCCCAATCTGGGATGAGGGCTCTTACCTCTGCATTTGTCATGGCTACTCCCATTATTTCAGATTTTTCCATGTTACTTTGAACCCTGTTGCTTTCTGAAAGCACAGGAGGAAAGGTTTGGGAGTATCGACTTCATTTCGTGAAGCTTCAAGGAAGACTAGGGTGTCGTCTGCGTATTGCAGGTGAGACACCATTGGGCTCAGATTACTACTTTTG